CTTCCCCGGGGAAGGAGCTGGGCGTCGGGGGGGCAGACCCGTGGAGAGAGCCCCCCTCCCCGAGGAGGACTGGGGACGCGGGGCCCACCCCCTGGAGACCGCGCCCGGGAGGCCCACCCCGGGCCCAGCTTCCGGGTTCGGACCGCCCCGGGCTTGTGGCTCGGGCGCTCCCGGTGGGGGTGGAGGGCGGGAGATGGACTGATGAGAAGGGAGCCAATCAAAGACTGGACGTGAAGGGTGTAACCCAAGCCCTTTCTTACAGCAAGGGCGAAGAATGGACACCGCATTCCGCCAGTCCAGTCTGGAAGGGAATGAAGACGGGACGCAGCTGGAGGAGGCCCTGGCGGTCAAGCAGGTTCCCACGCCTGCTCTGTGAACCTTCCTCCTCATGAATGAGGGGAAACAAGGCCTGAGAATCTCATCAGGGAGTGAAGCCCAGAGCAGGAGATGCCCAGCCTCCGCCCAGGCCCTGTGTGGGTATTCCCTGTGGCACACTGGCCAGGCAGGAGGCCCAGACCTGGGGAGAGCGGGAGCCACACACGGAAATACAGCACACTTAAAATAGGAATGAACCACGGTTCCTGCCTGCATCAGCCACCAGCCACAGCTCAGCCAAAGCCAAGCAGAAACCTTCTGGTATCTGCTACATCCCGTTATGCCATAGAAGTCTTCTTCTGTCTGCCCAGATCCCGTCTTCTCCTTCTCAGGAGCTTGCCCCATGGATCACCCCTTCTCTCACCCGAACATTCAACCTTCCCCCTCAACTGGATTTTTTCCATTGGCATATAAATATGTTCAAGCCTCTACTATGGAAACAAAACCCTCATTCAACCCCACCAACTACTGAGTGTCTCTCTCCTCAACCACTGCAGAATTCCTTGGAAGAGCTGTCTCCTCGTCCTCATCTCTCTCCCACTCCTCATGCCCTGCAGTCAGCCTTCTAGCCCCCTAACAATAAACCAGGTCTCAATAGACTCTAGACCTCATCTCTACAATAAATCAAAAATTAACCGGGTGTGGTAGCGTGCGCCTGTAGTTCCAACTACTTGGGAGGCTGAGGCGGAAGGATCACCGGAGCCCAGCAGGTCGAGGCTGCGGTGGCTGGGAGCGGCCAATGCACTCCAGTCTGGGCGACAGAGTGAGACTCCAACTCAAAAATAAATAAATAAATAACCTCCAAATCTCTAAATTCAACAGCCATTTTTCAGTCTTCATCTGCCAGGGCCCTAAGCAACATTTGACACCCCAAGCAGTGACTACTGCCTCCTTGGAACATTCATTTCACTTGGTTTCCCTCCATTCTCTCTGGTCATCTCTGCCCAGGCTTTTTCTTCAATATTCTCTCTTCTCCTCATCAATAAAGGCTGAGGATTCCTCAAAGCTTAGACCAAGGCTTTCTACTTCCCTCCTCTGTCTCTATAACTTTTCCCCATACATAGATGGCTCACAAATTTTTATACCCTTGTCCTTACTCCTGAGCTCCAGATTCATAGGACCAACTGCTCAGTCTACATCTCCACCTGCGTGTCCACAGAGACTCAATGGCAACATGTCCAACACTGAGTTGTTCTCCCTCCCTCCCCTCACTCCACACATCCCATATTCCCTGCTGCACTGAAGGAGAAACCTCCCATCAGTTATCTAACCAGAAACCTAGGAATCCGTCTTGGCACCTCCCTCCCCCTCACCCCTAGACCCTTTCCATCTGTATCCTAAGTCTGTTCAATTTTACTTCCCAAGTCTCTCTAATCCATCATCCATTTCTCTCCATCTGCATGTGATTGTAAAACTTTTCTGACTGGCTGCCCCTCCATTTTTGTTTACTTCCATCTCTCCTCCACACTGCCACCACAGTGATTTCAAAATGCAGATTTGAGCCCATCACTTGCAGCTGAGGAAATGACAGTGCTCTTAGGAGACATCCTAAAAGTGACTCATAAGGCCCCACGTGGTTGGCTCCTCCTCACTTTTCTAGTCGCAATGACCTGGCCATTTCCTCTCCCCACTTCACCCCAGGTCTTTATATAATGCAGTTTTCTGTCTAGAAAATTTTCTCCTTCCCTAATTCCTTCAAAATCCTTCAAATCCCCTCAGACACAGATTTTTCTGACTTCCCTGACCAATTCAGAAGCTCCCCTAACAACTCTGGTATAGTGGCTCGTGCCTGTAATCCCAGCACTTTGGGAGACTGAAGGAGGAGGATCACTTGACGCCAGGAGTTCAAGACCAGCCTGGGCAATATACCGGAATGGGGTGGG